AGACAAGGTCTCACTAAATTGCTTATGGCTTTGCTAAGTTGTCACAACTGGCTTTGAACTGGAGATCCTTCTTGCCTCAGTTTCCAAAGCCTCTGGTATTGTAGATATGTTCTATCATGACTGGCTAATGGATGGAGTATTGGATGTTAAAGTGATTAAGTACCTTGCCTAAAGTCACACAGCTAGTAAGTAGGAGATGAATGATTCAGGAATGTGTATCTGATTTTAAACCCTGTGTGTCTAATTTCTACCATTTCCTCCATTTCCTGTATCACCTATTGCATATTCCATACATGAGCAATTTTACTGATATTGCCTGATAAGTTTAAATTAGAATTTAAACCTTTTTTGGTAATAACTGCTAGTATATTTTGATTGCAACCTGAATGACTCAGGTTTATCTAGGCAGTGAGTGCAAACACATCATAATACTTGCATTTTATCAATACCTAAATATTTAGCCTAAAATGTCCACAGGCGTTTTGTTACCAGGCAGAAGTGCTATCACCACTCTTATTGTCTTTCAATTTAGACACATAGCACAAATCTCCTAGGGAATTTCATGTCATGACTCTTACACCAATGGCAAGACTGGCAGATGAGCCTTCTCTTGGACACACTCCATCTACGGGTATTCAGAATGTGTGCCTGAGACTGTCTTCATGCTCTGAGATATTTTCTTCCTTCTGGTCAGTGATCCTTGTGAAACTTCCTGCTATCCATTTCTAGCCCTGACTTTACATTCTAACTACACATCTCTATTCTCACTTCCTCAAATCTTTCAGCCCCTCCGTTCTATTTTTGTACCTCTAAGTCCCAGGGGTGGAAAGAAATCAATCTTTTTATTGCCAGGAGCATCTTTGCAAATCTAAGGATTCACATTTTCTTGCCCAGGAAAGGAATTTTTGCAAGTTCAAGTTCTCAGAATCATTTGAGTTCTAATGCCAATGGATATGTGGATTAAGTGAGAGGCAGGATCATTCCTCTTGTAAGTAAAATCATCTATAGCTAGCTGGTTTTATAATTTTATAATCATGTCAAGATGAATTCTACTGTCCTGTTTCCCAACCCAGATGCCTAACACACTCTATTGCAAACATTAACTGTTTTCATTTTGCTGTGACTGCAATTGTTCTGGGTCTTCAATCTCTAATATTTATTAGTGGAATTTAAGTGTAGCCAAAACTAGTTATTGGACTGATGATACTTTTAAAATATAATAGAGATTACTTGGCATATTTTGACTGTGTAATCCATCTTCTGAGGAAAACATTGGGGAACTTCAGTTTATTTTACAAGAACAAAAATATGGAAACTTCCTGTCCAATCCTAAAGGTGGAATTTTTTTTAATAAAAAGCATATGATACCTTCTGCGGTCTCAGGAGAGAAATCACTGTGATTCTGGAGCTCTTTACTCTGACCTAATTTTGCTTTTATCTTAATGCTCAGGCTTTCTGTGAATAGAATAGTCTAGTTGGTCCCTTTGCCTCAGGAGAAGAGATGTCACCAGAAGACAGTATGAAGAGTTCCTGAGGGTGGGTACTTGACATATGGGGTCCTGGGATTATGTCATGAAAAGAATTTCAGCACATGCCAGTCAGAGACACAGACAAAGATTTATTTGGGAAAGCAGAGACACGTTCAAGGGAAAATGTGGGTTATCTCAAACCAAAGGTGGAATGTTTTCTCTGATATGTGGGAGCTAACCCACAATAAGGGGTAGAGGGAATATAGTTTAGGAGAGTAGACAAAGGGGATTGATGGGAAGGGAGAAGGAATGGGAAAAGGAATGACAGTGGAATGAATCTGACACAACTTTCCTATGTTCGTATATGAATACAGCACAGAGAATCTCACTATCATGTACATCCACAAGAAATCAATTAAAAAAATAACTATGGGTAAATGGCAGAAAGATAATAGAGGGAAGGGAGCCAGTAGAGGGGAGAGGGGAGGGGGAGAGGAAATACTGGGGTGTGAATTAGAATAAGATTTATTCCATGCTTTTATAATCATGTCAAGATGAATTCTACTGTCATGAATAACTAAAAAGAACCAATAAAAAAACATGAAATTAAATTTAATATTGTGAGATATCATATTATTTTGTGCCTATCCGGAAGCATTCTTTATCAAGATAATGTCATTTCAAGATAAATAAATAAATAAAACAAATGATGGCAGGAAAAGTGAGATTTGCTTTTGGGGTAACTGGTTCTTCTTTTAAACAAAACTTGGTAAAGGGTGGGTATGGGAGGCTGTGTAAGGATGGCATTAATCTGATGATCACAAGATTGTTTATGGTGGTGTTATCATTCTCAGGGTCTTTAGAATGGTGTTGGCTCCATTATATAATCTATAGATAACACTAGAAAGTCCCCTAAATTATAAGTTTCTTAAAAATATCATGTCTCTCTTTGCTTAATATATTTATCAGTGGACTAATTAATAGTGCAAAAGGTAATTGTCATGAGTAAGTGGTTTTATGGTAACTCTAAGATTTATAGATTTCCCTGAAATTTGGGAGTGATAAGTCTGGGAAGAACTACCTTGGGGAATGACAGGCCTGGAAAAAGTATGAAGAACTTTAAAATTATATTGTCTTGTCCTTCCTTAAATGTTTCCTAGGTATTTCTTTTTTCTTCTGTCCTACTTTACTTCTTATTTTTTCTGCCTCACTTCGATTTACTTTTCTTTCCATTTTCTAATGGCATTTGTAATGTACAATGAGCTCAAATAGAATGTAATACATCTCTCCCATAAGTGCATAAGTGCGAAATCTGAAATGTTTAAAATTCCAGCCATTGATGTATAATTGGAGTTTAATTGAACCTGCAGTGCTTCATGATTACAACAGTAGACAAATGGCCTCTTTAGTTATAATGCGAATGACTGAGATTTTTCAGCAGCAGAAATAAATAAGACTATACTAACTGATGTTTGCTTACCTGTTTTTCAGACGAAAAAAAGTATTACATTTATCTTATAAATATTTTGCATTACAGTGTATTTAGGGTAGAAACCACTTGCTCTTTTAAGCTCCAAATCTAGGTTCAATCAGCACATTTTTTTGAGATACTCTGAATTATTTGATGCATATCTCTAAGACCAGCTTGGGATCTTGTCATCTACAAAAACCATTTAGGCTCTGCTCAGATAAATCTGTGTGTTTGTAGACTGTTATAAATGTAAACGAACATTCCTGAGATAATAGGTGGACAAATAGTTAGCAAAATGACTCTGGAGAGTGCTGAAGGCTGAGAAGAAAATAAAGTGATAAAGTCTTGAAAGATTGGTTAAGGCTAAGCCTCGCTGAGAAGGTATCCTTGTAGACTGAACGATGATAGGGTCACCATCAGCCATCTGAGAGAAAAACATTCAAGTGGCGGAGGGGGGGAAGAGGCCACCATCAAACAAAAAGACAATGGCATGGCAATTTCTAGTACCCCTTCCACTAGGACTCCTAACATCTTATTTTTCAGGCCTGCTCACTAGATTGCCTCTCCTAGAATCTGAACATAAAATGACAGTTGACAGACCAGAATTCTAGGCTAAAACCAACAAGATGGAATGTGACTGATAAGACCGAAAAGTGGTGCTTGTGAGTTTACAAATCCAATTTCACAGCACCCTCGGCTTGACAGCTGTTCATGTTCAAACAATCTGGGGATTCTAATTGACCACAAATTGGAGATTGTATTTTTGCTCTTTCTGACTGGAAAAAACAATGTGTAGATATTACCCTTGGGCAAATTTTGGCCCAATTTAAGGTATCATTAGAGCTATTTAAAAATGGAATGGTCTGTTCCACAGGTAAAGATCTTGCTGTTGCTTAAAGAGAGGGAGAGGGAGAGGGAGAGGGTGAGGGAGAGGGAGAGGGAGAAGGAGAGGGGGAGTAGGGGGGGGGAGGGAGAGGAGGAGTAGGGGGAGGGGGAGGGGGAGAAACATACACAGAGGAAGAGACCAAAAGATTTACTCATCAGAGATTTTTGGAAAAAGAAGATTCTGTAATGTTTGGGGACTATTTCAGACACTTTTTCATTTCTGTGAATCTCTGGCATATTACCCATTTATTCATTCCAACAAAATTTTCTTCATTTTGGGATATTTATGTGTAGATAAGAAGGAAAAATGATATTAGTGTATACTTTAATCAGCTTTGTGTCACCATGACCAAAATACCCGATGAGAACAACTTAAAGGTGAAAAAGTTCATCTGGGGCTGAAGGTTTTGGAGGTTCAGTCCATGGTAGGCTGAATCCATTGTTCTAGGCCCAAGGGAGGCAGCACATCATGGCCAAAGGGCCCAGCAGGGGGATCAGGAAAAAAAAAAAAACTGCTCAGCTCCTGGCAGGATCAGGAAACAGAGAGGGAGACAGGAAGGAGCTGAAGGAAAATGAACCCCTTAATGGCATGCCCCCATGACCCACCTTCAGTAGCCATGTCCCCTGGCCTATGGTGACCCCCGAGTCAATCCATTCAAGCTAGAATGGACTGATAAGGTTACAGCTCTCATAACCTAATCACTTTAGATTTGAATATACCTCACTAACACAATAACTTTTTAGGGTGTATCTGATATCTAAAACTTAGTATATAAGGCATATGGTGAATTTTATCTAACACTTAGTTTGTAATGGCATCTCTCAGAACAGTAAGCAAAAACTTAAAATTCTGAGATGATGCTTTTTAAAAATAAGTATTTAGATAAAATTTCTAGTATATTTAGGCTAACTATGAGAAATAAAGATTAATATAAACAAAAAACCTCTTGGGTTTGCTCTATTTTAACTCTGCAATGTAGACAGTTCAGTTCTCTATACTTCACTTCTCTCAGAATGAGAGCAGTAATTTGTCCCTGTCTGAAAATATTCTTAGGATTAAATTAGTTGCTGCCTAGAAACAGTGATGATTGACAATATGAAATGCTAATTTAATGTTTATTATTAATCTTTGCTATGGTTATTAGATATAAATGTGTGCTCCATTCTTTCTTCAGGAATTAATGACCAAGCTAATAACTGAGACACCTGACCAGCCAATCCCATTTCTTATTGACCATCTTCAGTCTAAACAAGGAAATCGTGGACAACTGCAAAGAACTTTGTCTGGATCTGCAGCTCTCTGGGCAGAAAGTGAAACATCAGGTAAATGAAAAATATCTTGCAGTTAATTTGGGATACATTTAATGAAAAATTTCAAGTCTTTTTGATTTTGATAAGATCAATCTAGATGAATGGATACCTAAGGTTTTCATGTATTTGACTGTGACTTCACCCAGATGTTAAAATTTATCGTATTTTTGAATTTGAAGATATTGCATTGTACTTCAAAATATAAAAATCAGGATATTTCATTTTAATAGAGATGGTTCAGATTGCAGAGAAGGATTTCATTGTGTATGAGTTCAAACAAATTATTCTAATTTTTTGTTTCTTTTATGAATATTTTGAATTAAATGCTTATAGTTCATCTATATAGAAAAGTAAGAAAAAAAAGACTAGATATCTACAAAGTTAGTTTTCTTACTTCTCAAACTGATGAGCAGTCTCCATTTTCTCCAGCCCTCATGTTATCCTGTGTATAAGTTCAGATTTAGGAGAAATCGTTCCTTCTGGATGTTGGGGAACCAGCCCTCCAGCTTTATGGTAACTTTATTTCTCCAGTAAACACTGGTGAGATCCTTGGGTAGACTTGACTTTACCATTTTTATACACTGTCCTGTTGTCTCAGGTATTTATTTTCAAGCCCAGATCTCCTTAGCTGTCCAACTCCTTGCCTGATTCTCCAGGGAATCAGCTTGTTTGGACTCAAAATGTTTTTTTTTTTTTTTTCTGTGATGACACTATGATTTCTCTTCTTCCCTTCATGCTCTGTGGGATCTCATGGAAAGGACTTTTGTCTCTACATGTGTTGTCATGTTAGTGCTTTCTCAAGACCCTGAATAGAGAATAGTGTATTTTCTGAAGAATGAAGACATATCTGGTGTTGATGATCCATGCACAGTTGTCTGCATCATATGGGAAACTAGAATATGAGCTTTTGGCATACAACAGAGGGAACCCTTGTTTTTTCTTGGCCCCACTTTCTTGGGTTTAGATTATAAATTAGGTGTTTAATCTTTGGCTTATAAGTGCTAAGATGGCACCCACCAGGTGAAGGCATATCAGATGAGCATCTGTGAGCTTACCAAAGTTCATGTGAGTCCATGTTTTATAAAACATTGTATCTGAAGAGAGAATGATTTATTACACTGGGGACTTTAACCAGTACACATTTAGCATCTCAGTGTCCTTGTTGGAATTTATGCCTGGCTTAGCTAAGTGTTAAGCCTCACCAGGCTGCAAGTCAAGGTGTTGACCGGGTTTCATTCTCATCTGGAGCTTGCCAACAGAAGAATCTGCTTTCAAGCTCATTTGGGTGAATGAAGACTTCACCCAACAGAGGCAAAATTTGTCCCGTGCAGCTTTGTGACTGAGAACCCTGTTTCCTTTCTGGCTTTCATTTAGGGTCTGTTTTCAGCTCCTAGATGCAATGCAAGGTTCATTGCCACATTGCTCTCTCACCTCATGACAGTTTACTTTTTTAAAGGCAGTAAAGGAATTTCTCTCATTCTGTTCTGCTAAAATGGAGTCTTATCTAATATAATGTAATCATGACATTGACAAAACCTTTGCCATATTTTATTGGATAGAAGCAGGTCAAAAGTCCTGACTTTACTCAAGGGGAGGGAATAGAATAATAGGGCAGAACACCTGGGTATGGCGATCATGATTATAAATTACCTTGTTATTTTTCCAGTTTTCTTAGAATTCTGACTTTCACAAGCACTTATGACTCTTTCCTTCCAGAAGGGGAAAGGAGGGAGGAGATTATCATAACTCCCAGTTTACTGACTTGAGTGATGGCATAAATGCTCATTTAATAAGGCAAGATAGGAACATAAAACTAAATTTATAAAGGGAAATATAAGCTCAATTCCTATTGATTAATTTGAGTTTCCTGTGGAAAATCTTTGGAGATAGTTACAGTAGGCAATTGGTGCTGACTCTAAACTCTGGGGTAGTTCAAGGCAGAAGTCCTGGTGTGGAACTCATTCAGTATCATACAACTTGAAAGAATGATCAAGGCTTGTCTTGGGAGAAAATGCCTGTTTATTGAGGAACAGCTCTGCATATTTATAGAGCTGGGGGTGGTTTGACAGTTATGATAGTTTAATGGTTGTCAGTTGGCATAGGGTGCTTTCTGATTGATGGGTAAGGATCATGTGAGCCAGCAGGGATAGTCTGATTGGTGGATAAGGATCTTGTGAGCCAGCAGGGCTCACCATTGGATGGCTCTTCTCAGGGGATGGGGAAATTCTGATTGGTGGGTAAGGATCATGTGAATTAGCAGGGCTCACCATTGGACGGCTCTCGGGGGATAGGGAAGTTAGTCTTTTGAGCTGGTGTGACTCCCAACACAACTAATCATGAAAAACATGAGGGTGAAAGAATGGAGGAAAATGTGGTTAAATATGTGGAAGATGTGTACTTAGAATATGGAAGACGATACATGTAAGATCATTCTGGATGCCTTAAATTTTGTTGTTTATGAAGAGGTGAAGTTGTTTGCTAAAGATAAGAGAGTTTGTTAAGCAGTTTTGGGGCCTTACTGAAGTTGAAGACATGAATTAATTTTTAATTAATTCATCATAGAAAGCAGCATCAAGAAGGTGATTTTTTTTTTCATTAGTGTTCATAAGAGCTGGGTTGGGAGAGAGAAAAAAATTTGAGGGGCAGATTGAGAATTGTGATTGTGATACCATGCGGATCATGGAGGGTGGAAGAAGAGTTTTGTGGAGGAGTTGATATTTGTGAGCAAGTGATTCTGATGATGATGAAGCACAAGGTCAGATATGAGACAGTGAGCAATGGCAGGAGGAGATTTAGACATAGAAAGCTAATAACTTCAGGAGGTTGATGTAGTGAAAATATGAGAGATATAGAAAGAATATTTTTAGGAATAATAAAAGAAATTATTTTTCTTGAATATGTATGGATTTTTTAAACTTATGTTTTTCAAAAGTTTTATTGGGCTGTTGACTGTGATTTTTCAGGAAAATCAATCATGTGTATATTGAGTCTCCTCCACGGCTCTTCATTTCTCTCATTTCATTTGTCATTGTGTTTGCCTTTCATATTTATTGACTCTCTTCTTATGGGGTTTATTAAATAAAGTATGTTCTCCATGCCACTGATTAAATTTTTGACAGTTCCGGTTCTCTCTTTTTTCTTACTTTGAACACAAATTTAAATGTGTTATTGCATTTTAGTCTCCTACTCATCTTTTTTTTAAAAAATAATTTTTCTGTGCACATTTCCATTTTCAATCATAGGTTGGTTGACTTATCTCTACTCTAATTTCTTTGTTTTGTTGGAGGGAGTACCAGAGATTTAACTCGGGCACTCAACTACTGAGCCACATCCCCAGCCCCATTTTATATTTTATTTAGAGACAGGATCTCACTGAGTTGCTTAGTGCCTCACTTTTGCTGAGGCTGGCTTTGAGCTTGCCATCCTCCTGCCTCAGCCTTCTGAGCCTCTGGGATTACAGGCGTGCACCACTGTGCCTGGCTCTAATTTCTTTCGATTTCATACAGTCCGTTTTCTTTTATTTTTATTCAAAAGACAAATCAGTTATATTCTGATATTTAATGCTTTTAAAAGTATGATGCCTGCATTGTGGATGCTGTATTCTTGTGTTTTTAAATGAAATTTTTCTTAGAAATATATTTTTTCTGTTTACTAAAATTTAAATGTGGAGTATTCTATCTAGTTTTAGGTTTGTCCACCAATAGTGTAGGTGAATTCTTCTTGTCCCCTTACCATGTAGCTTGAAACTATTTGGATTCTTTTCAAACTTTGGGATAGGTGAAATCATGGCTGATATTGAAATTTCTAGTAGTGGTCACATCCTGTCTCATCTCATCTCTTTTCCACCAACTAGGAATAGTAGCCTTGCTATATTATTTGAATTAATATGAATTGTTTTCCTTGCCCTGAAAGAACTACAGAATAAAGAAGCCGCATGACACCCAATGTCTCATTCTTTGCTGGCTCAGTGGTCCTTTGTATATTGCTATATTTGATGACAAGAATACCTTCATCCTTATTATTGATTTTTATACATATTTTGTTTTAACAGAATCTAAAGGAACAAGAAGGGATTTCAGAAGCTATGATAAACCTTGGCAATTAAATGCAAAGAAGCCTAAAAAATCAAAAAGTGACCTTGCTGTGTCTAATATTTCCCCCCCATCACCAGACTCCAAATCATGTAAGTTTGTTCTTCAAATCTTATTTCCTTTATAAGTCTGTTGTTCAGGAAATAAAGAAAAAATAGTAAGTGAAGCCAAACTTTTAATCTGGTATTTTTGACTATTAATCCTAATGATTTCCACTTTCATGTCTGCATTGATATTGAATTATTGTATGTATATATACTCACCTACTTATACTCTCAAACTGTGTAATGATTTAGACCTAGTATTCTGTTCCTTGAAGAATACAAGTTGTAGGGAGCAGTTCCTTTGCCTCTCATGGCCAGTAGCAGCATTATACTACATTGAAAGCAGAACCATATCTGCATTTAATGAAGTACAAAAAAATCAAGTTAAATCTTTTAGAGCGGAGTGAAAGATATTGCCATTCCAAACATTTAACAACAACAAATCTTAAATCCTCTATCTAGGATCTCCCTGAAACCCTGCTCTTTATTATTTGTGACTGAAAAAGTCTCTATAGATATCCTCTCCCACACTGCCATAAGTTCCCTTCTCCTAATGTCTCTGCTTCCTTTCCCACTACCTTAGTAGCCCCTGCATTTCTCCAGGGCTCTGCTGCCTCCACACATGTGGAAGCTTGTTAAATAGTTCAGGAGCTGATGGAACACATGAGAGCTTGAAAACTGCTTTTCTTATACATCGATTTCTTATATTTGTTATAGAGTGAGATGTTTGCTTTGAATTTCAACAAAGAAAAGAGTATGTTTAAAATAATTATTTTTGTTTGAAAATCTTTGAAAACCTACTGTGTGCTAACTGGAGTCTGCATCTGGGTCGTATGTGAAAGAGACTGAAATCAACTCTATCTGCATTTACCTAATGGTACTCATAAAACTATTGGATCAACCCCACCAAGCTATTGTGAGGTTTTATGGAATATTATGAACATTAAATGGTCTTAGCAAATGACGATTGTGATTTGTCAACTTGTCCTCCTTTGCCAGTTTAGTATGTAAAATTTGATCCCAACATTAAAAAATACACAAGTCTAAAATTACCATGTCTTCTTTGGACTAGTATGGTTAGTAGTATCCAATGCCATTCCTGACCCAATTATGAATTCAAATGGGAAAAATGAATAAATTAAAAAATGAAAATGAAATGAATCAAGTCTCAGTTTCCATCTCTATCAAGGAGTCATCAGCTTCTCCCTTCTTTCTCTATTTGCCCTCCTTCCCCTTCCCTTTCTTCTTTCTTCCTCTTTCTACCTCTGTCTCTCTGTCTTCCAATGATAAATCCATAACTATAAGGGTTTACTAATTATATTGCCAGTTCTGGATTCCATCACTTATCACTGAGGGGAAAATGCCCAAAGCCCACCTCATTCTGTAAGCTCTTTGTTCTACATAGGATGCAGAGTGTTGCTGGTGGTTGGCATCTGATTCTGTCTCCTCTCAACCTCTGGTTCCATAGATCATTAGCAATATTTTAATGGTAAAAACAATAACAAAATAACATTTTCATAGTATGTGTAGAGATAATATATATAACAAGAATAAAATGGGTGAAGTGTTAACATTGGAAATATACTATCAAATATTAAAATGTTGTTGAAGTAATAGAATGTCACTTGAACATAGATTGTAATAGCTTATAGGTGCATATCATAATCTCTAAAGCATCACTAAAAGCAGTATGAAATGCACAAATGAGAAGTTAATAGATACATTAAAATGGAATATGAAAATGTTCTTTATCCTCCCAAAACAAAGGCGGGAAGAGAGGAACAGAGAAACAGAGAATAGATTGTAAAATAGAAATCAAACACCGAGATGATAGGTTTAACTATAAATATGAGAGGAATTGTACTACATAAAAATGGATTAAACATTATGATAAAACAAGTATTGTCAGGCTGCATAAAGGGTATAGATTTTTTGAAAAACAAGAAACATGTTTAAATATACAGACAAAACCAATTTTAAATACTAAGCATAAATAAACGTAAGTAACTATATCAGACTAAGAAGAATTCAAAAGAGATCATCTCATAATGAAAAAATTATTGAATGAAGAAAACATAATAATGCTGTGAGGCAGCGCACGTAAGAACAGTGTTTCCAAGTGCCTGATGTGAAATATATAGAACTAAAAGCAGATAAAGACATAATAAGTGAATCCGAAAAATCAGTAAACATTTGATTTGAACAACCACCTTGAGTTAATTGATATTTATAGAACACATGCTCAATAAAGTTAGAACACACACACACACACACACACACACACACACTAACACACATGTATATAATTCTCAATTTCTGGTAGAATATTCAGAAAGACAATTAATATGGTATGCTGTAAAACAATTATGAAGTTATATGAAATATTTTTTGTGAAGAAATTTTCTTAAGTTAGAAATAAATTACAAGAAACCTAGAAACTCTTCTTGCCTCCACATTTTGAAATTAAAAACCCCATTTCTAAATAACCAAGGAGTTAAGTACAAAATTGCAAAGGAAATTTGACAACATTATGAAAAACAAAACATATACAGATTTGTAGGGTGAACTAAATAAGTGCTTAGGAGAAAATTCATAGCTCTAATAGAGGCATTTTAAAGATTAATGTTTTAGAAAAGAAAATGTATAAAATCAATAACCTCAGCTTTCACCATAAGAATATAGGTAAACAATGAACTAAATCAAGAATATGTTGAGGGAAATAAATGAGAAAAATAATGTAATTGAAACAAAGAAAAATCAATAAATCCCAGAAGTTGGTTATTTGAAGATATTTACTTAAACAATAAAACTACTTTGCATACTCTTATCATATGCAAGAGTATTAGGAGTGAAAGAATAAAAACTATTACAGATTGTGAAGGCATTAACAGGATACTTCGAAGATAATTTTAACAGTTCTATGCCAGTAAGATTGACAACTTGTATAAAAGATATAAATCATTTGAGAGACACAAGAAACTAAAACTTACTCAAGAAGAAATAGATATATTTAAGTTTCCTCTATCAGTTAATTAAATTGAATTAATTATTAAATAGTTTCTCATGAAAAGGACTGGAGTCCAAGATGGCTTCATTATGAGATCAATACATTTGAAACTAAAAGAAATCATATGCAACTTTTCAGAAAATGGAGAAGAAGGCTACACATTTCAACTCTATTTAGTTGACCTCCATAAACTAAAACAAGTCAAGGACTTTACAAGAAAAGAACACTAGAAATGATCCTATTCCAAGACCATAGATATAAATATTTTTACCACCTATTAGTAATATTAATAGAGAAATGTATGAAAATGATCCAATTTATTTTATGTAAGAAATGCAATGTTCATCTAATAAACAAAAATTTATCAGTGCAATTCACTAAAAAGAGTAAGAGAAAATTGAAACATTCATTTCAATACAGAGGGGAAAAATATCTGACAAAACACAATATTTATGATAAAAACTCCATCAACTTAGGAATAAAAGAAAATATCCTCAGCCTAATAAAGCTCAAAACCAAAAGTCTCTCAGTTATTATCATATTCTGTATTGAAATATTGAATACTGCTCTTCTATCAATGAAATAAATGCTTACAACTTCTGTTCAAAAAATCATAGTGTGAATGAAATTCGACAAGAGAAAAAATATATAATTGCAAGCGAAGATAGAAAAACCTTTTACTATAAATGTCAAAATTTTATAAACATGAAAAACACAAAAGGAACGTAGAAGAAAAAATACTAAAATGAGTAAGTAAAATTGTCAAAATCACAGGGTACAAAGTAAGCAAACAATTGTATTTTGTATTCTGACAGTGTGAATTGAAAATGTCCTTAAAATACCATTTGTAGTAGCATCAAAGAATACCAGATATTTAGGGACAAATTTGATGGGAAAATGTGAAAACTGCCTATACAGAAAATTAGGAGACATTGTTGAGACAAAATAACTAAAACTTGGGATAGATATATCCTGTTCATATTCAATATTGGTAAAGGGTAGGTGGTACATATTGGCCTAGAATTTAAATATGTCCCTAGCAGGCTTTATTCTAGAAAATGATATAAATATTTGAAAAATGTACCAGCCAAGGAAAAAACCTATGATTATTTAAAGCACTCCTGATAAACATGAACTAGATAGAAAAATTTACCCCACCTGCCTTATAAAACTGTAGTTGTCAGTTCAACATAATATAGGGTCCATAAATAGACCTCCATAATACAGTCAGATGAGCTTCCACCAGAACATATTAATAGTAAAATGGGAAAAGAAAAGATTCCTTCAGCATTGGACATCCATTTGAAAAACAAACAAAACGAAACATAACTTAAGTCATCCCTGAAGGAAGTAAATGATTTTTAGGGATGTTCCAGTTACTATGGCTGCTTGACCAATTKCCACAAACTTCTTTTAAATAAAATTAATTAAAGAGTAAAATGTACAATTGATTGTCATTTAGTACATTCACAATATTGTGCTACTATTCTCTACTAATATTTAGTTTGACACTGTTTTCATCACCCCAAAGGAAACCTGTACCCAAGAAGCAGTCCCCCAGTATTTCCACATTCCACCAGCACCTGGCAATCTGATTTCTGTCTCAGTGGAGTTGTTTCTGTTGAGAGTATCTCATGGATAAAATCATAGAATTGTGACCTTTTATATGGACTTATTTCACTTAGCAAGCTTTTTGATTCATTCATTTTAGCAAGAACACAACTTCATTCTTTTTATAGCTGAATAATATTTCATTATGTGGGTGTACCGCATTTTGTTTATCCATTCTTCTCTCAGTGGAAATTTGGTTGTTTCCATCTTTGACTCTTATGTATTGTGCTGTTCTGGGCATTCACATGCAAGTATTTATTCAAATACCATTATTTCTCTCATTATTTGGATATATGTCTTGCAAGGTACTTAGTGGATCTTATGGTTATTGTAGGTATATGAAAGTCTCCAACTTTTATTTAGAATTATATTTCTCCCTTCAAGTATGTCAGTTTTTGCTTCCTATAGTTTGTGGCTCTGAGACTAGGAT